TTATAGCAAATTTTATAAGGAATATTTTTGACAAGAATAAAATTTTCTGAGCGACTAATGGTTTTCGAGGAAAACGAGAAAACCCACCGCAGTGCGTATTGGGGGTGGTTTTTGGGTGTGAAGCTCACACTTTACAGTTAGGAACTCTTTTGATTTTAAAAAGTCTCCATTTAGTACGTATAACCTCAACATATCAAAACTTTATATTTTTTTTCTAAATATGCTAAGATCAACGTAGTAAGAAGCTTGGTACGACTGATATCGGAGATGAAGAACTAACCTCTGTAAGATCTCAGACACTGGCTGTTGTCAAAGCCATTTTACTGTATCATGGCCTAAGGTACTTGATGATTTACCTAACCCCCCTCCTATTCATTCTACATTCTCTGTACCCGGAACAATTTTTAGGCTAGACATTTTTTAACGTGGAATATATCTCAATACTCAATCAATCCGTTTTAAAACTTTCTTAATATCGCCGTACCTCCAACCGAACACAAGCGTGCTGCATGCAAATTTCGACCAATTTCGGACTTGGCAGTTAGTTCTCCTTTAGATTTGTGATGTCTGCGGTCAGACTAGCGGTCAGCGCGAGCTATGCCTCTCCAGGGGCTCTCTCTACCTTCATCTGGCCGTCTCGTAATTCTCACTTAAAGAAGTGTAATTTAAGATTAAGCCGATGCCGAATGCCCGGATACTCTTATTTCTCCTTAGCGGAAAAACGAAGAGTAGTGTAGTCTTGAGAAATTGTTTAAAACTTTTTAAATTTGGTACGGCTACTGATAAGTTATGTTAGAGGAGGCCAACTTTCTTTGACAAAATGAACGTTTAATCAAATATATGAACTGTTATTTTTGAAAGTGTTATAAGTCTAATTTATTTATAAATAAATATGCACGGTGGTCCGAGCTGTATTCCGGACACTTTGGCAGCATATTCTGCAGATAAAAATAAGTGAAAAAGTTCGTATAAATGTTATGTCCTAAAATACTTAGTTTCGGAGATAGAGGGTGTAGAAGTTTCATCTTTATTTCGATTTTTTCCAAATCATTTCTGAAGTAACGTCAATCTATTTGGATGGAAATTGGTGTCTGGGGGATTTTTGGCATGAGAAATTTGGATTTTGATATCAGCATGACTCCTACTTGTAGAGGGCGTCACCTACATATTTTTTAACTGGTTTGACGAATAATAACTTTTCGTCCGTACCTGTATAAAACTACTGAGTAAAATGCTATACATATATATATATATATATATATATATATATATATATATATATATATATATATATATATATATATATATATATATATATATATATATATATAAGTATATATATATAATCAAAAACCTTTCTACCCGAAGGTGTAAGGTATACTGAATTAAATAAATTCACTTAATTGCTACACTATACACAAATTGTTTCCATTTATTTTTGTCTCTTGCTAAACTTTTGGCTTCTGTTAGTTAACGTTAGTCCTCTATCCTGCACTATCTTCTCTATTGTGTCGTTCCATATTTTAGTTGGTCTTCCCCTTGGTCTCTTTCCCTGCATTTTAGCTTCCCACACGCCTTTTACTGGTATGTCGTTGTTCATTCTGATCAAATGTCCATACCACCTAAGCTGACATTACTCAGTTTTATTCAGGATCGAATCTACTTTTAGTTCCTCTCTTATAAAGCTGTTCCTTAGTCTACCTTTCCTTGTTACCCCAAGTACTCTTCGTAGATATAACATCTCCATTCTTTGGATCTTACTCTTCAATCTTTTAGTTAATACCCAACTTTCACAGCCAAAAATCAACGTCGGTATCAATACTGTCTTGTATACACTCATCTTCACTGCTCTCGAGATTTCCTTTCTATTTAAGAAACCGTTCTTAATGGCTTGATACAAGCGGGACGTGTTGCTAATTCTTTCGATGATTTCCGTCTCTTGTTCTCCTGTGCTACTGATGTTCACTCCCAAATATTTGTTGAATCGATTTGTTCCAAATTGATGTCATTTATCTCTATATTCATATTGACTTCTGTTTTACCTAAAATCATAACTTTTGTTTTAAAATGCTATACATTTGCGACTTTTTTACGTAATCGGAATCGACATTAATTTATTAAATATGTTGACTAAATAGATATTAGACTGAAATCATAAATTTGAAATGTTTTTGTGTCTGAACTGTTTTATATTTAGATATTTTTTATATTTATATTTATAGAAACTATATTATTATTATTTTTTCGCAGAAAAATTTATGATTAATTTAAAAAATTAAAAAGTTCCCCAATCTATCATTTCAGTCAAGTAACTATCTACTCAACATGTTTATTTTTTGTCAAAAATGACATGTATTGACTATTTATATTCTAAATATCTTGAGAACAGTTGCTCGTAGCAATTTTTATGAAGACATTTTTTAGGCAAAAAATCACGAAAATATATATTTTTCACTCAGTAGTTTTATACAGGTACGGACGAAAAGTTATTACTCTTCAAAACAGTTAAAGCACATGTAGGTGGCGCCCCCTGCAAATAGGAGTCATATTGACACCAAAATCAAATTTCCCATCTCAAAAAACTCCCAGCCACCAATTTTCATTCAAATATTGACGTTACTTCAGAAATTATTTGGAAAAAATCGAAATAAAATTAAAACTTCTACACCCTGTATCTCCAAAACTAAGCATATCAGGACCTTTATACGCTGTCATTTTGTATGAAAAATTATATGGAGAATATCATCAACGTTCTAACTCATTTCTAAGACAACCGGACGCCGTTTTTTTTTCATTATTCGGTACTTAAATATGCTAAATGTAAAAGGAAAAGAAGTTTAAAATATTATTTTTTATTATTTATTTTTTTTATTATTAAAAGATCTTAACGAAGTAATTTTCATTTTTATACTTTCAATATAACTGAAATTAATTTTGATAAAACTTTACTATTCGTGTATTTAAATGTGTAATTTAATTTTAATTATTTCGTGTAATTTATTTTTAATTATTACCTTTTACATAAAAAGATCCATTTCAATAAAGCTAATGTCTATAAAAATATTTAAACTTAAGGGGGACTTAAATTTACCCCAGTTTTTATTTTTTGTAATATGTTTTTGAACGTGGTATAAGTCCATTATTTAATTAAAATAATTGTTTATTTTTTGTAAGAATTATAATCTATACTAATAAATAAAATCCTTAAGTGACTGGCATACTGATTAATCACGATCCTTCTCAAACCACTCAAGTTAAGAAGCTCAATTTTGGCATACAGGTTGATTCTAGGGTGTCGATCAAGAGGGTGAAACCACCTCTGAAATATTTCAATATTTTTTTTTAAAACGGTCAAGTTTCCGAAAGAACGCTTAAACACATATATTTTATTTTGTTGTTTTACATATTTTAAGATTTTTTATAAATTTATACAGGGTGTTTCATAAAATATGACCATTGAGTTATCACGATTCTGCTTAAAGTGCTTGACGTTTAAAGCTGATTTTTGGTAAACGAATTGACTGTGGGGTGTAGAGGTTCGATAAGGAGGGGTTTCTCGAATCACAATTTCCAAGAGGGTAAAAACGCCCCTCAAATAATACAATATTTGTTATTTAAAAAACGGTTATACTCTGTTTTTTTTTCTCAGGTAAGATTTCGACAGACGATGACAGAAAAAAGCCAAATGACTTCCATACCAATCCATTTATTTCACTAAAAAAAGTTTCTAATATTTTTTAAGTTAACTATGGATGGGTTTATAAATAAATACGTCATGCGTCGTCTCTTGTTGTTTTTAACCAGTTTTATTGGTTTATTTCAAAAATGACAGATCATATTTCAATATTATTGGTTTGACGGAACGATGAACGCCAAACGGACGCCTATACGTATAAACTCGACTTAAGATTTTTGAGAATTGTCAAATTCTTGCCAAACTATAGGTTATAATTTTGTGTCAAATTATGTCAAATAGAAATGGTAAATGTTTTGCATTTTGCATTTTGAACTGTGTTGATACTTGTGTTTCGTGTTTTTTAAAATTAAATGGAGGAGAACTCGAGGGAAAATTAAGTGTTAACCCAGACCATAGTTTACGGTTAATATTCGGTGCCCAGAGACCGCTAGAGACACAGTTTGCCAGAGACTATGGCCAGAGAGTTGTATTTGCTACAAATAAAATTGTATACCATCTCGTATATGGTACCAAAAACTGGAGTATCTGTAAGATAACACCACACGATAGGTAAATAATACATTTTAGTACTGCAGAAAAAAATTAAGATTAAAGTTAATTACCCAAGATTAGATTTTTTCAGTTTTATACAGTTTATTTCACAATATTTTGAAGTAATCACTTGTCACTCAAAATTTAAATATATTAATTATGCTTTCCAATTGTACCAACTTATTTCTTTGTAAAATAAAATAAACTACTTTGAAATTAAAACGACAGACACATCTATCACTCTCAAGGATTTTGTCGTTGGACAGACTATAGTCTTTCGGACGCTTGGACATAATTTATTTGTTTTTTTACATATTTTGAATTTTTTTAAAAAAATCATACAGGGTGTTCCAGAAATTTGGGTAATTGATTAACCACGATTCTGCTTAAACTGCTTGACGTAAAAAGCTTATTTTTGGCAAACGGATTTTTCGAAAGTCAAATTCCAACGAGATGAAACTACCTTCTCACTATACCTTCCGTTTCCAATCCATATCCTTCCGTATTTTTTATTGTATTGACGCTATACGTAAGCTTCCTTTCCGTATCAGTTCCCTACTTTTTATTGTACAATTTATATCATTACAAAAGTTTTATTTTAAAAAATTTTATCTTTTGGAAAAAGGTAAATGATTTAATTAAGAGGTGAATCTCAGCAAAATGTTTACAGAACTGGTACAAATGTAAGAACAATGATGACAGTGCTGTTTCCGATACTCTTCAGTCCGTAAACTAGAATAAAAAACAAACACTAGAATAAAATAACACCTACCTACAACGTCCAAGTAGCCGACCTGACTCTTCATCGGATCCGTATTGATCTGGCACATGTACCAGCCCTTGTCGGTCGCCTTGATCTCCCTGATGTGCAAGAACCAGGTCTTGTGCTCGCTGTGCGTCACGCCGATCCGGTGATTCTTCGTGATAACGTGATTGTGAATGGTCAGGATCGTTTGCGTGTCGACGCGCAGCCAAGCCACCTGGAATCGCGATTATTGAATACGGAATAATAGGGGCGATTTGCATAAAGGGTTTTTAGGATTTAAGAGGCAGGGTTGTAATGGCACCAGAAACAGAACTGTCTGTTTACAAAAAGAAATATGTTTAAGTCTTTGTAAAAGACTAATACCACCATTTTTTCAGTCCAAATACACTACTCAAAACAATTAACGCATATTTGAATAAAAAATAAGAGTAATTATCACATGTTTCTAAATGAAGCATGCACTTTTTTGCCTTTCTCTTGTGAATTTTTTTAGGATAATTAGGGTACGCACTGACATGTAATTTTTAGTTGGCCGACTAGTTAGTTGCAAAAGTGAAAACAATACGTTTCTATGGAGCCGATCGGCCCAATATTTGATTTCATTGCGTAGCGTTAGGCTATACGCTGACAGGCAATTTTTAATCGGCCGATTATTTAGTTGCATATTTGTAACCAATATACAGACCAGACATAGGCAGAACCAAACGAATTAGCGTATATCCATCCGCCGGATAAATAGCAGGCGAAAAAATGCGATAAAATAATAATAGGTCGATATGTGATAAGAATGTTTCAGAATTTGTATTTATTCGTGTTTTAATAGCCAAAACGAATACGCAGATTCTCGCGACAATTCTCGTGTAAAATTTATTTTTTAAGTAAAATAATGGCTGTAAAAAATAAAGTAATTTATGAAGTTCGTGAGAAAATTCAAATTGTAAAATGGTATTTCCAAAATAGGTCTTATCGGGATATACAAACAATTTCTCCACAAACTTTTGTAAACAGGCCAATTCCATCTTCATCTACTATATCAAGAGTTATTAATAATTTTGAAACACATGGGTGCGTGTCCCCACAAAAACACAAAAAGCCTGATGTGTTGATTAATGAAGAACAGGACTTAAAGCAAATGTTCGTTTGTGCTACAGCGGATCAAAATCCCACGTTTTCAAGTAATCAAATTGCTGAGGTGGTTGCCCTACCCACAATGCCCGTATTGTTCAAGAATATTTGAACCATACTTTTCCCAACCGTTTAACAAGTGGATATGGAACTATTTTGTGACCCGCTAGATCACCAGATCTTTCTCCCAATGATTTCTTTTTGTGGGGTTATGTAAAATCCAAAGTGTATGGTCATAATAGGGCTAATAATCTGGATGAGCTTCAAGTAAAAATACGAGAGGCTTTCCAAACTATTAGCCCTAATATGTTAGCCAGTGTCAGACGGGGATTTTACGACGTTCTGTCTAGCACAAGAAGGTGGTCTTTCTGAACACTTGTTATAACTTTTTTTTTATTTAGAGTAATATTATAGTTTTTTTTTGTGTTTAGAGAATTTATTTATTTTTAGTTTTGGCTTGTAAACACATTCAAATAATAAATATTTAAGTATTTTTATTTTAAATGTTACCTTAAGTGAAGGTAAACACTTAAAATGAAAATAATAAATACACGGCACTCCTCGCGTCATATTCCTAATCTGTCACGACCGACCCGTCCAAGCACAACTGCAACTGCGTACTGCCTGACCAGCCGACTAGCCGGCAGTGACTCTCGAGTACGAACGCAAAACGGGTAAACGTAAATTCGTCCGGTAACTTGCTTATGTTACTAGTAGCCTGGTCTTCTCTGTATATTTCTGGAGCCGCACTCACATAGAATCCAATAGTCGGCCGATCGGCTATTAGCTTATTGTTTCGAATTTCCCTTCGAGTATCCAAACTATATTTAAAACTGTAAGTCAGGGAATTCAAAGTGTCTTGTGTTTCAAATTAATATATTTTTTAGAAAATATGCTATAATTGTTTTGAGTAGTATATTAATTACTTACTTAATTGTGTTGGTTAATAAATTATTCTAAATAAATGTGGATTTGAATCAGAAATCAATATAGTAATAAGTTATGAATGTGAACGTCTCTGTTTTAAATAAGCATTCGTCAAAAAATTAAATCAAATTTATAAGGTTTTTTTTTAGTATACGGAGCAATAATTAATCAACACAAACAGTCAATTAATATAGTTCGAATACTGGGATCATTTTAGTTGGTACACTTTTGCAAATATTTAAACACTTTTTTTTATTTTTTAATGAAATATGTCAACTATATTGACGATATTATTATGTGTAGTCTTTGAAAATTTGTTACATCTTTAAAAATATTCTAAAATGTCAATATTCCATGGGTATATTGATAAATAAGGTCTAAATTATAAGATGCATTTTCTAGGAAAACTTGAAGAAATTGGTAAAAAATGGTACAATAAAATTTGATAGCCCATTTAGCGCCTCTGATTCTCCTAAAATATATAGGGTGTTTCAATTAATTTAAACAAGTTATTGCCGATTAAAGCTAGTAATTTTTTAAAATATTTTTTTAAATTATCTGTATAAGGTAGTATTATTTTTATTATTGCAACACAAAATTTAGTAATCAGCAAAATTTCAGTACAATATTTGGTTTTCAAAACTTCTAAAAACGCCTAGAGAAAAAAAAATTAAAATTGTTATGTATATTTATTTACGATATGTATATTTACTTACTAAAATCTTTGACTCAGATCGTTATAATTTTCAAATAAAAGATTTTTGTCTGTTAAAAAATTCAAAAAATTTCTTATTAGCATCTGCATCTCTCCTCTTTAAGATGCAGCATTTGAACCAATCAATAATAATGATGTTTAGATAACTTGACAGACAGCTTTTGTATTCCATTGTAAAATGTGATGCTTAATGCTTATTTGAAAGCCGTTCCTGATAAAATATTTAAGATAAAATCAAAATTGTGCTGCCCTAGAAAATCTAACTCTAATATCAATGTTATTTAATGCTTTCTGTCAAATTTAGGGTATTAGAGTGTAGGAAAAAAGGCGGCCACTGGGCAAATGCCGTCTGCAGATATCTTTAACTCTCCATCTGTTTATTTTTATTCCGTTTACGCATGAAAATGTGTGCGACTTTCGTTCTACCGAGCGGAAGTAATAAAATTATAATATTTTTTTCATTAAAGTTCGATGCGACATTTATAAATATGTCATATTTCTTTCCGTGGCTCTATTTAGTATCACGTGTTTGTTTTGTTTAAGTTGTTGAATTATGGATAAATACAGAAAAAGAGCTTTTATTGTACAGGGTGGCGCCTCTCATACGACGCGAAGGCTCCAAGGAGAATGGTAGTTTAAATCAAAAATGAAATTTTGGGAGCATATGTAAGTTAATTGAAAGCATCTTTTAAAAATATAGAGAGTTATACAACGTGTCCCAAAAAAAATTGAATATCAGTTTTGTATTTTGTAATAAAACACTCTATATATTAATTGATTTTCGGATTCTAGGAGAAAAATAAAGGTGAGTTTTATTAAAGAAGTATATGACTAAAATGTAAGGGTTTTGACATACAGGGTGAGTTTCCTACGATGTTCTCTATGGGTATCTCGGAAACTACTGGAGATAGAGAGTCGGTTAAATGGAGAAAGAATTGCAGTTTTATGGGGTCATAAATATGCGCCTTTCAGATTTTTGAAAAAGTGCATGGCTTACTAGATATTTCGAAAAAAAACAAATTTTGGCTATTTTGAAAGTTGTCCCTAATTCCATTATAATATATTTTAGACAAAACTTTTTCAGATAAAAGTTGTAGATAATTACATCCTTAATGAGACTGCGTCCTTCTTTTTTTTTCTAAAGCTTGTCATTTTTGACATATGACACAAACATATGTTTTTTTAAATGGAAACCATAGTTGGTTATGACTTCAAAAAAAGCGCCATTTTTTAAGCTTTTTGGCGATATAAGTTATAATATGTTTTCTTCGAAAAATGACTGAGTTATAGCCAATTCTAATAATTTTTAAACTATTTCACTTAGTTAGCCATGGAAACAAGTTCAATCGCCATTGCTCTCTGAAGTGAAAAGCTGTCACATCCAAACTTTCTAAATTAAAATAAACAAAAATTGTAAATAAGAATTTTTCACATGAAGAAAAGCGTGTAGATACTCTACTAGAGTGGTTCCAACATGACTTTCATTATGACGCCCCCCCCCCCTGAAAGAAATGTTAAACATGCAATCTAAGTGAAATTAGTCAAGAAAGATATAAATTGGCTATAACTAGTTTAACTTTTCTAATATATCTTGAAAACTTTTCTCTAAAAAACGCAACATTCACCGGTCAACGAAATGTATCCTCGTACAACGTATCCTCGAAAATGTATGGTCAAGAAAAGTTAAACCAATAATAATTCTACACACTTTTCTTCAGTTGAAAAATTGGTATTTACAATTTTTGTTTATTTTATGTTACAAAGTTTGGATGTGACAGTTTGATATTTCTTAGAGCAACGACGATTGAACTTGTTTCCATGGCTAACTAAGTGAAATTGTTTAAAAATTATAAGAATTAGCTCAGTAATTTTTTAATTAAATTTAATTAGCTGATATAACTCAGTAATTTTTTAAAGAAAACATATTATAGCTTATATCGCCGAAAAGCTTAAAAATGGCGCTTTTTATGAAGTCATGGCCAACTATGGTTTACATTTAAAAAAACATACGTTTGTATCATATGTCAAAAATGATAGGCTTTAGAGAAAAACGGAGGACACAATCTCATTAAGGATGTGATTATCTACAACTGTTATCTGAAAACTTTTTGTCTAAAATAGCTTATAATGGAATTAGAGACAATTTTTAAAATAGCCGAAATTTGTTTTTTTCGAAATATCTAGTAAGCCATGAACTTTTTCAAAGATCTGAAAGGCGCATATTTATGACCCCACAAAACTGCAATTTTTCTTTTCCCATTTAACCGAATCCCTATCTCCAGTAGTTTCCGAGATACCCATAGAGAACATCGTAGGAAACTCACCCTGTATATAACATTATCTAAAAATGAAGAACATATTTCAAATTTCAATAGAAGCTACCTACATTGGAATATATCCTGTAGCCATTGTATGTTAAGCAAAATTAAAATTTGACCCAAAAAGTTATACAGGGTGGGACAAAATTAATACTAAACATTGGTCACTTTTAAAAGCACATCCATTATTTTAAATGGAACACCCAGTATACAGAATTTATATATCTTCAAAATATTCTTAAGGTTGCCTACCTCTTAGTCAAAGATTTTCTTAGATATTTTTATTTTTATGATTTTGCGTCAGTAGATCTTTATTAATTGATAAAATTTAGGTGGCTGTGATATATACCTTTCGCTAATTTAACAAAAATTAAAGGATCTAGAGTAAAATATTTAACGGCAATAAAAAGATACACGTTTAAAATATTTAGGGGCGTTTAAAATATTTTAGGAGCATTCTATGAATGGGTGAATGCCCATTCCAAACATCAATTAATTGAATCATATCATTTTATCTCTGATGAGTTTAAATTTTCGACAAGTTTCTGAACATTTGTTTTCTTTTAACTGACACAAAATGATGACTAGTTGTTAAAGTTGAACTAATTTGACAGCTGTGTTGAAGTAACGTCAGGCATATCACAGCTACCTAGATTTTATCAAATGATAAAGATCTACTGACACCAAAAATCATGAAAATAAAAATATCTAGAAAAATCTTTCTTTCAGGGGTAGGCAACCTAAATAGTGTTTTGAAGAGACATGAATTCTTCATAGAATATCGGAATAATATACTGGGTGTTAAGTTATTTCAAATAAAAACGTAACTTGCTTTTAAATGTGAAGACAAATGTTCAATATTAATTTTGTCACACCTTGTATAAATTTTTGGGTTAAGTTTTAATTTCATTTAAAGTATAATAGTAATTTTAACTACATATAGCCTAATATGTAGGGTAAATTCCAATTTAGGCGGCTTTTATTCAAATTTAAAATTTGTTCTTCATTTTTAAAAAATGTTAAATATATCAAAAACCTTATATTTTAGTCATGTTTTTCTGTAATGAAACTCACCTTTATGTTTCTCCTAGATTCCGAAAAACAATGAATATATAGGACGTTCGATTACAAAAAACACAATTTTGATGTGTCAACTTTTTTTCGGGAGACCTTGTAGAACTATTTACATTTTTAAAATGCTTTCAATTAACTTACATGTTCCCCCAAAATGTCATTTTGATATAAACCACCGTTCTCCTTGGAGCTTTGAAAAAGAGTTAAAATTAATATTACTCACCTTAAAATTTCCTAAATCTTGAACCAAACATGTCAAGATGGCTTCCCTACCTACTGCTGCTGTCACGTTTGTGATTGGAGCACTAAATGATGGACTTTCTGTAACAAAAAATTGTATTTTTGTAAATGTTTTTGGTGCATCAAAAGGTGTACTACTAACTACTCTTAAAAGTCCGTTTCACTAGTCCAAAAAGTAGCAGAATAAGCGTTCGGTATTTAACGTTTTATGTAAAACTGGCTAGGTATTTTTACCACAAACGAAGAAAGAAATTAAAGATAAAGGGTTACACTATATCCGTATTGTAGCACATTTTTAGATAACTTTTTTATGTTTAAGATTTTGATGGTCAAACATCAACAAAATATTCCTTATGTTTGGACTAAATTTTCTCGAAAATAAAGACATAATTTATAATTCCGTTACAATACGGAAATAGATTGAAGCTTTGTGATTACTGTGATATGTAATTTATATGGTTTTGTAACAAATTGCTCGCTATTTTATGGGAAATGCTGAAGCTCTGCAATCAAAAAAAATCAAAACTTAAACAAAGCACGTGATGTGTTTGGAATTTTGGGTGTGACTTAACATGACAGGATCGGGCTAAGCCTTATGCATATTTCTGAAATATAATATATATTTCCTTCGGCCATACATCCGCTTTACCCGACCCCTTAGAGCGACCCGAACAGTAATAGACTCTCAAGCAGGGTTGGAAAAAATGTTGATTTAAAAAAAAATCATTTTTTTTTATTTAAATCAGATTTTTTTTTATTTTAATTCAAAACAATATTTAAATCGGATTTCCAAATGACTAGGACTTATTTCCAATAAATATAAAACAACATATTTTCTGACAACGATTATAGATTCTCGGGAATGAAGATATAGTCTCTATATCAGAAGAACCTAGTTCTGCACTAGACTTTGCGAATGATATTGTATTCGAACACCGATTTTTGTCACTTTTAAAACAAATCCTTGCGTTTAGCGGTCTAATGGATTCACATGAAATTAGTTCAAAAATCGGTCCAACAATTAAATTGATGAATAGATATTTTTATATAGTATTATATCATTTACAATTATTTTTCGATTTATTATCTATTATATCTGTTGTAGAAATATTTTTTATAGTTTTCTAGGACACATTTTTATAACTTTTACAGTTATTTTTTTATTTATGATAAAGTTTCAATAAAATTATTTTTTTTTATTTAAATCACATGATTAAAATTTAAAAAAATCATTTGATTTAAATCACGATTTAAATCATGCCAACCCTGCTCTTAAGTATCCATATTTCAATCGTCGATTATCAAAACTTTCAGTATTCCCGCGTGAGTAGTGACTAAATTGTACGCGTAGTACTAAAAACACCCTGTATTCGAAGAGCTATTTATAGCATTACCGTTCCGCACCTTTTACACGTCTCTTTCTATGCCCAATTTGCAAACGTAATTAACTTATTTTCTCCATTTAAGCATAACTAGTTCGCTAATAGGATCCATATTATATTAATTTATTTCGAAATAATTATAATCTATTTGGGGCCGGTTAAAGTTTAATTTGCTAAGTTATTTCCAAGTTCTATCGCTAGTAGTTTCCCGTCCGCCGGCGCCGTTAACTTTTCCAAATTGCAGGTTTTAAATTTGTCTTCTTTGTGCTAAATTTCATTAAAAACTAATTAAACACGAAACTTAATAATGTCGGAGCCTAAGAAAGGGGGAGGGGACAAAAAGATAGAGGTCTAGAGAGAAAAAAAATCACAGATTTTGCAACATGCGCAACCATCGTAGGCGTGAAAATACCAGACACAAGTCGGCGGTTGTCGATAATCACCGTTTTTTTTACATTTTATATTAACTGGTGGCGTCATTTCGAAGAGCTCAAATGAAATATAAAAGAACTAAACCTTGTTTGTTGGAAAGCAATTTGACATTCGTGACGTCAGCACTCCGGCAGTCTAACGTAAACGTATCATTGATCGCTATTCACAAATATATTCCAGATACGTATAGTGAACAAGTTTAACGTTCGCAACGTTAAATAATTTTGATATTTGATTTTTATCGTGATGTCTTTTTGTAAAAGTGAAGACTTTAGTGAGGAAAATATTAATGATGGAGATGAACGTGTGCGGATTCGCGAATGGTCACGATCACGATCACGACACTATGACGGGCTCCTACCCACGTAGAGCCCGAAATATGCAAAAAAGGGGGTCAGTTTAGATTAAATTTAGTTTAGGTCTATCTTTTTATTAATGCAAAACCAACTAAAACCTAATTCTAATCTAACCTAAACTCACTCCTTCTTTGGCATATTTCGGGCCATTACCTGGGTATTCCTAGGTTTAACCAATATTCGAACTTAAAGTGTAAATTTATGGAAGGCCGATATATTTAAATTCGCCGTACAAAAAAATTGCTTTTCACCAATTTTTACAATAAAAATTAAAAGTTATAAATCATAATATTGTTTTATAGAAATGATGGAATAAGGGTGAACGGGGTGCCGGTAGACCAAGAAGATACTCGGAATGTAAGTGTTAATTTATACTCGAATTGAGATGCCTCATAGTATAGGCGTATTTTGATTCCCTACCGTGCATAGTTACTGTAGATAAAAATAAATTAAAACATAGTTGGCTCCAACGATAATTTACTTTGCAGCTTCTTTTCATCATACCTAATAAAAAACCATCACAACCACTACTCACAGTATGTACCTATGTATTTTTAAACATCATTATGAGGTTTAAGATCTACTAGGTACCCATAATATGAGTAGCGGTATTGACGGTTTCGTCATAACGGATTTTGTTATGATGAAAATAAGCAGCAAAATATATTATCGATTGCAGCAACTATACCTAGTTTACATTCAGCATGTCCAATTAATATAGAACATTATACCCATGCATACTTTTAAAAATTTGCTACCATTATATTTTGATAGTTGAGTTTTTGAAATTATTTGTTAACTTCTTAAACAAAACAGACCCATAATAATTCAAATCTTTATCATTCAAGGCTTCCAAGAATTATGAAGTAGTCTCACGTCAAAAATTTTTAAAATTATTCCATGCTTTAAGTATTTGCAAAGTTTACAAAAATATTTCTTTGCATACCTTGCAATTAATATATTTGGTCCAATTTATCAGTTCTGCATCATATCCGAAATTCAGATTGTGTGTGACACAATGAAGAGACAAAGCGCAACGTGAACGACAAGAAAAATGGCAAGTAAAAAAAATTGCAAAATCTTAATTACTAATTACACAGTCCTTCCCTTGAGTTCTCCTGCCTAAAATCTATATTGTCTTTTCTAAGATTTTAAATATAAATGATTGAAACCCATACAATAATTTAAACTTAAGATAATTATTTAATTATTAAATCCATAATTATATTAAAATATAACACTTAGAAATGGTTTCGGTACTAGGGAGGCTTTGTTTGCCTACAATGTCTTAATGCAGCGATGCCTTGATGTCAATCAAAACGTATATGCCTGCTTTATTGACTGTAATAAAGCATTCGATAAAGTAAGACACAAACAACTAATAGAAGCGTTAGAACGAAAAAATCTCGATACAAGAGATATACAAATAATAGTAAAACTGTACCTTAATCAAAGTGCGTCTGTTCGCGTCCAATCTGAACTGACGAGAGCAGTGGATATCAAACGAGGAGTTAGACAGGGGTGTGTTCTTTCACCACTCCTTTTCAACGTCTACTCAAAGGAAATCTTTAACAAAGCCTTCGAAAGTGATGCTGGTGGAATACTAGTTAATGGCATACCACTGAACAATTTGCGCTACGCGGACGATACAGTCCTTCTCGCTGAAAACATGCAAGACCTTCAAAATATGTTAAATAACGTCATCACAACTAGTCGAGAATATGGTCTGACACTCAATGTTAAGAAGACCAAATACATGATTGTCACTAAAACTGGAGTGCCCAATGAACATCTGTACGCGGAAGGCGAGGAGCTCGAAAGAGTAGAGAGGTATGACTACCTGGGTACAAGTGTCGACTGCACCGCGGATTCAAAAAGCAGGAATTGCAATGTTAAGAAGACCAAATACATGATTGTCACTAAAACTGAGTGCCCAATGAACATCTGTACGCGGAAGGCGAGGAGCTCGAAAGAGTAGAGAGAGTATGACTACCTGGGTACAAGTGTCGACTGCACCGCGGATTATTGTTCAGAAATAAAGATTCGCATTGAGAAGGCCCGTGCATCCTTTGTGAAGATTAAGAAGCTGCTCTGTAGCCGCGATTTGAGCTTCAGAGGGATTGAGAACTCGTATGCTCAAATGTTATGTATTCCCAGTCCTTTGTATGGTATGGAAGCTTACGACCCTCAACGAGCTTTTCGAGCGGAAACTGGAGGCCTTCACTGAGATGGGACATACCAGTAGGATGTTGAGAATATCATGGACAGAACATGGTTCACCAACGTGGAGGTTCTGAGAAGAATGAGGTAGAGATCCTCAAGGGAAGTGAAAAAAGAAAATTGCAATATCTCGGCCAAGTATCATGAGAGGTCCAAGGTATGAGATTTTGCAACTCATAATAAATTGTGTTTAAAAAAGATCTGTTGGAAGGGAGAAGAATATCCTGGCCCTTCTCCTGCCTTAAATCTCTATTGTCTTCCCTAAGATTTTAAATATAAATGATTGAAACTCATACCACAATTTAAACTTATATTTAATTATTAAATCCATAATTATATTAAAATATAACACTTACTTTATTTAAAGAAGAAAACATTCGACCAATGTTTTGACCTATGCATACAAAATCAGTCATAACCTATGCATGCAAAACCTGGATACTTAAAGCGGACTTTATAGGGAAAGTGCAGGTCTCATAACGCTCAATGGAACGAAATATGCTGTGAATAAGCAAGTAGAGTCGATACGACAAAAAAACCCAGATAATAGATGTTGTCCACAGAATCAAATCCCTCAAGTGGCAATGGGCAGGACACCTAGCAAGAAGGACGGGAAAAGGTATAGACATTATTTTAATTTATCCAGCCCTCCACTCTCGGGTATAATTATGTTATATTTGCCATTACTTAAAAAAGTTCGATGGCAGGATATAGTTCCCCAAGCAGCATTTGGACGTCGGGATAACGTTGTGTCACGCGACCAAACGTCGGGGCGCAACGTCGGCACGATCTCGTGCCAACCCTAGTCTGCACTAGTTTGGGGAATAATTTTTGGGTCGAAACGACGTTGGATACCTACGTTGGCTAGTAGCCTAATTTAGTACAAACTGCAATGTTGTTTGAAATCCTAATTCACAGAAATACAAAAACTATAATAATATGGCGTCTAAGTCGCGTTTTTATCCTAAATTGGGATAATTATAGTAAACATATTATTTTATGATTTAGTAAGAGACATAGGCCAGATGGCAGTAAAGGAAAACAAACAAAAGTATTTAAGTGTGGAAAATTTTGAAGATTATAATTATTGAAACACTTTAACCAACTCTGTAACTCGTTACCCAAGGCAAAAAGTTAAACGCAAACTACTTTATTGCTAAATGTACGTATTGTTTCTACTTTGAAAATACTAATGGGTCTTAAAATTAAAATGAAAAGTTCTTGAATTTTTTTTAGTAAAATGGGAATAATTTATTCGCAGTCGAAAAAAATTGTTTCCGCGTGTTGTTTAGGGTCAAATATGTCAAGTTAATGTATTCAAAAAGCAGGAATTGCTATTTTAGGAACGAAACATTTACTTATTCAAAATAATATGGCGGCTTTCACTTTGTTGTTTTGGAGATTAAGATGGAGTAGTTCGAGTAGTCGCATACTGGACTAATAAAGTCGCAGTTCAGCCTTAACAGGTAGTATACTAGTCGCAAGATTGCCTAATTTAGTCATCCTAGAGTCTAGATTGTGCCGCCCTCTGTGTTCTAAATAAACGAGGGAGTGGATAAAATATCGGTAATATGTCGATGTATATTTAAATTTAGTTTTATATGTGCCTTCCTTACGTCCCATTTTAATTAAGTTTTTTTATAAAAACAAAACAACACTGAACTGTCTGACTGAACAGAACAATGAAGTGAAAATTTAAGATTTAAGTATGGTTCAATACAGTTGCAAAAGGTAATGGCTCGACGTCCTACCAACGTAAGAATAAGGAAATCTAAACAACGTTGGAATTAGTAAACAGACGACGTTTGTATAACGTTGGAATAGGTCCTGAAAGTGACGTCGGAAAGCTCCTTTATTCCCCAACATTGTAAATCTACGTTGTCCGAATCACCTAAAGATCACTCAAGCAAAAAAGGTTACAAGACAACGTTTATTCGACGTCGCAGAAGCTTCTACTTTGTTGTAGTACTAGTTCAACGTCGGCACAACGTTACAACAACGTTTACATTTATTTTAATACCCAAGGTACGGAGCTAACTATTTTTTGTAACTAATCCAACGTTGTGTTTAGTAAACATGTGGTCGCAAGTCGTGAAAATGCTATTTGGGTCTCTTTTCAAATTTTCTATTCATTTAAATATTTCGATTCGCTCTTTTTTAGTTACAACAGTTAAATCCCCCAAAAGGAGTTGTGCGTGCTAATTAAGGAACTATTTCAATTGTAAAGCCTGTTCCCGATTTAACCATCACGCAACTAAACGCTGATTTCCAGATAGTAATTCTTTAGCGAGTCGGGACGAGTCTGTCCGTTTCCAGTCACGACACGGCAACGTCGCCCCTGTCATTTATTATTCTCTACACCCCTTCCTTCTCCACTCTTCCCTAATCGCTATCTCTTCGTTCTTTTTTATATATACGCTCGCGATGACTTTCGCCTGTCATCAGTCATTTAAATATCGTTTAATTATTGAAAAGTTTCCTAAAAGAGTGTAAAAAATACAGGAGAAAATATCAATAGAGAATTAATTTTCGTATCAACATTTTTAATATATTATATTATTACTTAGTTGAAGCCTCGCGCATCCGCCACGACATTAGAATAAAAATACTTTCTATTTTTTTAATTAAAATGAAATATTAAAAATGAAAAACAAAAAAAACCGGCGACGACAGTTTTAGAAGAGCCAATAGCTATCTTTTAGTAAAAAGCAACTTTCTAGAGCAAGTTGTTAAACATTAGCATTTTATATATGTCGATAACGCGCTTAATATACAATAAAATATTTTTTTTTTTGGCTTCGCCATTTTGCTTGCGTTAAAATGCCAGACAAGCTTAAGCGTGTAGATGTAATTATAATGACAGAATCTCGATGGGAACTCTTAAAAGAAGGCTGTCAGAGACACGCAGGATATCGACAGAGTATACAGGGTTGTTCACCACATACGACACGGAGTATTGTAGCTAAACGATTAGATTTTTACAAATTGTAAGTTTTGGGTTCGTTGAAGGACTATTTAGAGCTACAATTTAAAAATAATTTTACAAGATACAGAGTGTCCCAAATAAATAAAAAGTATCAAAGTTGTATTTTTTAAATGGAACACCCTGTATATTATTACATTTTTAGTTTCTACGATTAAAATAAAGATAAATTTGATTAAGGTTTATTACACTTGAACCTTACCGTTTTTGAAATGTTTTCAATT